TTCGTTGTCAAACTGTACTACCTACTGTTTTAATGGGAGGTAGCAAAATCTGACAGGGCACAAATCAACAGAAAACCGCAATGCTAAAGCAGTTATGCTGGGTACACACCACAAGATAATCGGGCTGATTTTGGTCCGATTTATCCCCTTTCCGACAATCCTAGGTAATGTCCCGATTATCTATGGAATTATTTTTGTGTCAATAAAACTGAACGCAACTTTTCCAGAAACTATCAAAAATATGCCATTACAAAAGAAGAAAAACACAATGAAAATGAAAAAATGAACTCAGTCGCACAAATTGAACATGCTCTTCAAATATGCTTCATTCTTTGTTAATGATTTTCAAAGATTCGTTTTCGCGAATCGTGGATTCTGAATGTGTTGCTACCGATTTCGTTTACGCTTCGCAAATTTTCGTTTACGGTTTTGACACAAACCTCTCGTGGGGGCGGGCTTAACAGCGATCTACTCTGATTGGCTAGAGAGCTTTTGATGGACAGCTGCTCTCTGACCTGGAAGTACAGACGTCACTCAGAGTCGCGCATATTGGAAAGCTGTCGCGGTGATTTGTGTGCAATACGTCGTGCTTTGTTTATATTATTAAGTATGTAAATAATATTTGCCCTTCGGTCGTCTCTTGGTCTGTAAAGATGAGCTCTCAGAAGAGACACGGAGCGGCATCATCTTCCTCAGCTTGTCCCTCAAGGCAGCTTGAAGTACGTGTTAATAAAGTAATCAATAACATCGATACAAGTTTTATTAATGTACAGTGTGCAACAGGTCGTTGCGGGTTATTATTGCCATTCACAAGTTTTTTCTTTTATAAATCTTTTATACAGTCATTATATTAAAGGACGTGTCATTGTAGTGCAGATATCAAACTGGTCTTTATTCTACAGCAAGGCAGAAATCTTGGTGCAGATGTTGCATCTGCAGCTGTACATAACATCCTTGAAATTCTTAACCAGTCTCTCGGGAAAACCAGCACTCGGGGCAGAGTCAAACAGTGGACCAAGAGATGGCCAGGTTTCAGTTTTGCAGTCATGACAATGACAAACAGCCTATTATAATACATTTTAACACTATAATTAGAGCAGTGGTAGTAGTCAGGAGCTATTTTGAGGTTCATTGTGTTCCCAATAAACATATTCATGTAATAAAAATAATGTAATACTAATTTTTATTTTCAGTCTATTGAAGGTCTTTCCCTGGATTTTTTAAGCTTGGTTCAAAGAGATGGCTACCCAGCTGTAGTAGACCAGCAAAGCTCAACAAACTATGGAAACCTTTTGTTAAATCTAGAAGATCTGAAGGATACTGTGGCAGCACAATTAGAAGTGCAACTGGAGGGGGAAAAACAATGTTGTATATTGTTCCTTTACAAGATGAGTTTGACCTGTCACCTCTACCATCTGATGCCCAGGAGTTCTCTCAGATGCCTAAAGCTGAATGTAAGAAATGCTCCAAATCTATGCCACTACAGATTCTTGCTCTGCACGTAAAGGAATGCAACACTGCTGAATATGAGACGCCTTCAGACTATATTTATAATTGTTTTAATAAACCTCATGAGTATTCTGTTAGATTCATATGGAAATATATGTTAAATGTTTTGTCTATTTCTAGCTGACTAATCTACCTGCTGATTCACCTGATTTACCTCCTGTTACTGAAGAAAAGGTAATTACCTTGTTGCTTGGGCTGACATTATTCTGACTTCTTTTAATGTGTATTTTACAACATTACTTGCTTTTTAGTCAACAGAGGCAAAGTGTCCTGTTTGTCTGCAAAGTTTTCCTGTGATGGAATTGGAGCTCCATGCAAGTTTTTGTGGCGATTTAGATAGGTAATGGTAATGCTATAAACAGAATCAACAATGTAATTTTGTGGTGCATTATTTGACATGTTGCCTAAGTCTTGTTAATTAAAGATTCTGAACATTGCATTTCAAAGTTATGTTTACATGGCAGCTGACATTTTGTGCAAATGAGTTACTTATTGATGCACTAAAGCAAATAATTTTTGTTTTACATAACATTTATGGTTTAGATTTTCACTTGTAAATGCTTGCATTTTCTCTTTAATCCAGTTGGCCTTCTAAGCCCTGATATAATGGAGCCACAAAAAGAAGAAATGTCATGGTATATTAATTAAGAAAAGTATCAGCAATATTCTTACTTAATAATGTACTTGTAAAACATAACTGGTATATCATAATGCTGTCTAAAACACTCCATTTTAATCACAATTTGACAGTGAAGAGGATGTACTGCGATGGCTAGCTGCTCAAGTTGACACCTCCAAAGAATTCAGTATCTGTGTGTCTAGAATGAACCTCTTAGAAAGAGGTATGTCACTGTGGAAGCGACAAAAGCTCAGCTCCCCAATCAACACTTTAAAGGTTACGTTCATGGGAGAGGCTGGAGTTGACACAGGCGCTCTGTGTAAAGAATTCCTGACCGGTGAGGATTTTTGCATCTGATACCCTTGACCACAAAACCTTTGCAATGTTAATTCATTTGTTCTGGTCAGATTGTTTGCGGTCTCCATATTGGAATGTTGCTGAATTATTTCTTTTTTTTAAACTATAGAAATGATTAGTGGCATAGAGACCTGGCTCTTTGAAGGAGAGGATGTTAAAGGAAAAATGCCAAAGTACTCGTTAAATGACCTTGACAATTGCCTGTTTCGGTAAGTGTCATTAAAGAATTTAAGTCATTAAAGAAATAGTTCATCGAACATGGTTTAGATTAGACTTGCATGAGGAGTCTATAAAAACAGAAAATGAAGTAGACTTTTTTTCTGTAGAAAACAATTAAAGGTATTTTGAACATTATCTCAGCTGTTTTGTTGTTGTCTATATAATTAAAGTCCATAAAAAGATTCATACCTTTTGAAATCCAAAAACAAGAATAGAAGTTTTATTTTTTTGGGCGAATAATCCAATTAAGAGCAAATACCTTTTGAACATGAGTTTGGTCCTGACAAGTAGCATTAAAAGAAAAGAAGATTAGGCAAACATATTATTTATATTTTATATTTATATCTATACACACTGTATCTTGGTATACCTAAAAAGTTTTTAAACAATAAATGTGTCAAATAAAGCCAGAACTGTTGCACACTGTACATTAATAAAACTTTTATCGATGTTATTGATTACTTTATTAACACGTACTTCAAGCTGCCTTGAGGGACAAGCTGAGGAAGATGATGCCGCTCCGTGTCTCTTCTGAGAGCTCATCTTTACAGACCAAGAGACGACCGAAGGGCAAATATTATTTACATACTTAATAATATAAACAAAGCACGACGTATTGCACACAAATCACCGCGACAGCTTTCCAATATGCGCGACTCTGAGTGACGTCTGTACTTCCAGGTCAGAGAGCAGCTGTCCATCAAAAGCTCTCTAGCCAATCAGAGTAGATCGCTGTTAAGCCCGCCCCCACGAGAGGTTTGTGTCAAAACCGTAAACGAAAATTTGCGAAGCGTAAACGAAATCGGTAGCAACACATTCAGAATCCACGATTCGCGAAAACGAATCTTTGAAAATCATTAACAAAGAATGAAGCATATTTGAAGAGCATGTTCAATTTGTGCGACTGAGTTCATTTTTTCATTTTCATTGTGTTTTTCTTCTTTTGTAATGGCATATTTTTGATAGTTTCTGGAAAAGTTACGTTCAGTTTTATAAAGTTACGTTCATTTTTATTGACACAAAAACAATTCCATAATTATCTTGGTTGTTCTAAAGATGATCTTTTCAGATCTTCCTGTGGTGTGAGGTGTGTTAAGAGTGACTGAATCTGCTCGGAAGAACGCCTGAGGTAAATATTCAACATGTTGAATATTTACAATCAGAAATCCTGGGGTGAACATCGCGGCACACCACACACTATAGGAGCAAAACGGTTAAATCTAGGATTTTTTGTCCTCGTTTTTGTGGTCTCTCACATTTTGAAGATCTTATAAGATTTTAAAAATCTGTGTTTTAAGAGTGTGTACCCAGCAGCATTATGTACACTTGTCGCATGCTGAGTTCATCCAATCCACGAAACCCAGAAGAACGGAATGTAAAGTGTAAAACGACAGTTCAGTTTATAAATACACAGGATTAATGGTCAACCCAGGGTAAATTAGGAGCAGTGTGAAACGTAAAACAAGCTAACCCGTGATTCCATTTTCCTGGGTTTAGAATGACCCAGGGTTAACTATTTTGAGTGAGAAAAGTCCTTCTGTTATGCATGTGTAGCTATCATTATTGGCTACTGATTAGTTTCTCTGATATCAACAGCGATTATGGAAGGTTAATCTGGCTTGGCTTGTAATAACTACTGTAAAATATTTTCCTTGGAAAGCTTGTGATGTTTTTGATATGTGCCAGACTCAACAACTACTGTGCACAGTGCAACAGCGCCACCCGGAGTCCTGAACATGAAGATCAGGGTGTTCTCATGAATTCTCGTCCAGCAAAACCCCCTTGTCATATTGCAAACATGTTTTTAATAAAAAATACTTTTTTTTCATTATAAAATGTAATATTTTTCTTTAGTTCGGAGAAGTAGCTGGATAGCATTAGATTTAATCTCACTAAAAACGTGTACAGGTCACATTTCATCCCAGAATCAAATTTATATACATCCGCTTTATAAATTGTGTGTGTGGGTGTAAATATGGCTCTGACATGATGTTCTTGGCAGGTTTTGTGCCATTAACTCAAAGAGCATTATTGCTTACTGTAAAAGATTTTAGCTAATTATCAAATAACTGTGCAAAAGGCAATTCTGCTAATTCTGTAGCAGGTGATATTAATCTCATGGTTTATCTTCTGGTGAAATGGAGGAGTACTGATGTCAGATCAAAATGCATTCCCATCATTGTAAACTTCAGGAGTGTTTTGTTGTTTTTGAAGTTTTAACTAAATTGAAAATATTCATCACCTTAAGAATTTAAATTTTACAGTTTCTGAAAAAACCAAATGTACACACAAGGATTTTTTTTTTGCATTTTTATTTAGAAACATCCACTGTACAACACAAAAAAAAACACAACAATGTACACAATATTTCCCACCTGTCTGACATCCTCTTGCCTTCTTCCACAAAACCCACTTTATATCTGAAAGAAAACATTTATGATGAATTCAGGTGTCCCCTAATCACCCACCCCACCCTACCCTAAGTGATCACTACACAAACTATTTACACTATATACAGTCTTTTTACATCACTGCACATTTATGATGAATTCAGGTGTCCCCTAATCACCCACCCCACCCTACGTGATCACTACACAAACTATTTACACTATATACAGTCTTTTTACATCACTGTTGAAGCTCAGTGTTTATTTTTTAGAAGAGGATCTGCTGATGGGGACCCACTGTCCATATGGCTTCCTGTCTGCTACGCTGTCGGCTCTTGATGTTACCTTACTGTCATGGACCGTTGGGCTGTTTGATGGTCTGGCGATGGTATTCTGTCAATATAAAAAGGTAAGATCAACTTCAATATTTCAATATACTCTTACAGTCATTATATGTGAAATATGGCTTCCTGTCTGCTACGCTGTCGGCTCTTGATGTTACCTTACTGTCATGGACCGTTGGGCTGTTTGATGGTCTGGCGATGATGGTATTCTGTCAATATAAAAAAGTAAGATCAACTTTAATATTTCAATATACTCTTACAGTCATTATATGTGAATAAGCTTTAATGAACTTACGTTGATGCTGAAGTTAATTGGCTTTCTCTTGGGAGACGTTGGAGAAGCCTCTGCCTCGCCATCATCATTGGCAACGTTTACCTAAAGACAGTAAAATGGGGAATAGGATAATGAAATTACTGTCTGTTTGATGTAAACCTAGAAACCTCAGTACCACATGACTTTCATTTCTAAGTGAGGACGCCCTCAGTTCAGTGTTTAAGTCATGCAAAAGAGGCGAATTGAAGGAACTCTGACCTGTGTAATGCCAGTGCTGCTCTTTGAATCAGTCTGACATCAAAAACACCATTTGGGTTATACCCATTTACTATTGATAGTACAAAAAGCAGTTCGTTTACAAGCAAAAATGAAAATGTACATACGAAGGCTATGTTCACATTGTACATATTTCCAATTTGTTTTTCAAATGTCCAGTAATTTTAAACAACTCCTGAGGTGTCGCTATTTACAAATTCATGCATATGCAGTGTCTGAAATGGTTCACACTTTATATGAAGGAATCCAAATGAGGAAAAAGAAAAAATAAATCAAACTGAAATGCAGTGTTTAAAAATTACATTTTAAATTTCAAATTAATGTGATTTTGCATTATATAAATTTTGCACATTTGCATCTTGTAATTTTGAAGAAAAGTCTGAATTATCTGGTTTAAACAATTGTGAAAATATACTAAATATTCCATACTAAACAGCTCTGAAATGGCCCAAAATAATTAAATGCAAAAAAAAAAAAAAAAGGCTTTTTGCTGCTTGTATGAACAAAGCCCCAAAAAGCAAACAAACAAAAAAAAATTACTAATTGATGAGACTATATTTTTCCAAACCCCATCCGTCACCGTAGAGCGAGCTCTCTCTGGTCTTCACACACGATGAATAGAGGAAGACTCTGGTAAATGACAACGCAACCCAGTTCAACCATCAGCAAACAGAAGTCATTTCCTGTAGTTCTAACAGCTGTAAAGAGACACTACCGTTCAAAAGTTTGGGGTCGGTATGATTTTTTGTTTTTTTTAATAGTTTTTGAAAAGTGTCATACTGACTAACTCACTAAGGCTGCATTTATTTGATCAAAAAATACCGTAAAAACAGTAATACTGTGAAATATTACAATCTGACAATTTCTAGTTAAATATTTTACATTTTAATTTATTCCTGTGATGCAAGGCTGAATTTTCAGCATTATTACTCCAGTCTTCAGTGTCACATGATCCTTCAGAAATCATTCTAGTATGCTGATTTGCTGCTCAAGAAACATTTCTTATCAGTTTTGAAAACAGCTGTGCTGCTTAATATTTTTGTGGAAACCATGATACATTTTTTTCAGGATTATTTAAATAGAGAGTTCAAAAGAACAGCATTTATTTTCAACATTATAAATGTCTTTACCGTCACTTTTGATCAATTCAATGCATCCTTGCTGAAAGTATTGGTTTCTTAAAATAAAAAAAACCCTGAAATTCTACTGACCCCAAACTTTTCTGCATATGTGCTGTTGTGTGGTGGCTGAAAGTGTTGAGTGTGAGGTGAATCACACAAATGCATGTGGTCTGTTTTTGTTCGACACAAAGCTACCGCTGACATCGTACACAATTACTTAACCTTTACAGTTGTGCACATAAGACTTAAAGCTGGTGTCATTCAAGTCATGTGACCTCCCCCTCTCTCCCTCTTTGTCCAAAGGGTGGAGGAGTTTCAGCTCTACAGGAACAGAAATGATACAAAAAAAAAAACAAAGCAATTGAAGCTAAATGCCACTCCTCAATACAGTTAGAGGAATAATAGCCACGTGCTCATTCATTCTCACACACACAACACAGTAATACATACTCTTTAACATGTACCATTACCTAATCCGGACAAGTGCTGTTCATCATTCCATTAAATCCATCAGGTAAAATCATTCACGTCTGAGGAGACAGATTACATGGTAACCCAGGTTGGGTAAGTACAGCGCGCAATCACATTTTAAATAGACGTGTTTCAACGGGTTAGTCAACGTCCCGAGATCACAGATATAATTGTCAAACACTCAGGACGTTCATGCAATATTACAGAAGTCAAACAAACACTGGGTGTGTGTTAGTGGAACGTCTGTATGCATGTGTGTGAGGCTCACCTGTGCTGGTATCTTCTGTGGTGCCCAGTCTGCGCTCACCCTTTCCTCTTTATCTGATGAAGATCTCCTCTTCTCCTCCTCCTCCTCCTCCTCCAGCTCCTTCAGGCTAGCTGGCAGCTCTAAGTTCTGCACTCCCAGAATCCTGGCAGCATTTGCTTTGGCCACATTTAACAGATACTTCTTCTCTGTGGAAGATTTCAAAGTTTAGATTTAAATTCTGTCATTTACCTCCATAGTCAGCATTATCAACTAGTCACCCAACAACTGACTAACTGCAAGAAAAATAAAAAATAAATAATTTTATTAATCTGCATTTTTGTCAGTATCTTATTTTATTAGAAAACATTAATAGATAAATATATAAATATATAATTGAATATATAAAGACATAATTATGTATTACTTAAATTAAGATATGATTAATATATTGTTATAATTTAAGTTTTATATACACTTTAAATATTTTAAATAATTATATTAAATAATATAAATATATTTGTAATCATATTTTTACATTCTTTTAAACTTTCACTTTTTTGTAATTTATCAAATATTCTTATGCAAATAACTTTTTTTTTTTTTATTTATTTTTTTTACTTGCAAACATAAAAATCTACTGAGAAAGAAGAGGATTTTTTGTAACTTACAATCATAAAACCTAGTGAGGAAGAAAAAAAAAATGTATTGCTGTGATTTTCACAAGAAGTGCAAAGACGACAGAAATAAAGCATCAAAAGTCATCCATACTACTCATGCAGTGTATTAAAAATCTTCCAAAGCTAAATGATATCTTGAGATGTGAGGAACAGACTGAAATGTAGGTTATTAACAGCTGTGGTCACCATGAACCGATTTGTGTAGAGAAAAAAAAAAAAAAAGAACTACATTTTTTATTTTTTTTATATCTCCTTTTGTCTTTCATGTAGCATATATATTAAAGTGAAACTGATCTTACCCTCAAGGCTGAGGCAGACTGTAGAGCGTTCACAGCTGCGAGACCGGCTTCTGTAATCTCTGGAACTCCTGGGTGAGCGGGAGAAACGGCACCGGTACCTCCCCACAAACCTGCTTCCCCTCCAGTAGACCGGGGAGCGACTGCGAGAGCGGGATCGGGACGGAGAACGCATGTAACGTCTGGAGTAGCTGTAGGGGGATGGAGAGCGACTGCGGCGATGGTAGCGCCTGCGGTGAGAGGAACGCTCAGGAGAAGGGCTGTAAGAGCGGGAGCGAGCCCGGTAGCGGCGAGGAGGAGAATGGCGCCTGTGACGGCAGCATGAGCGGCCTGAGCAGCGTGGATGGGAGCGGGAACGTGAGCGAGAGTGTGAGGGTGAGGAAGAGCCACTGTCGGAGGATGAGCTCCGTGACCTGTGGGAGGAGCGGCCCCCCTTGCTGCTGGAGAACGAGCTGTCACTGCTGCTGCTGCTGCTGCTGGAGCGAGAGGACCTGCGACCGTGTGGAGCCTTCTTATCAAAGATGAGCTTCACACCCTCACTGAGACGCCCAGGGCTGGCCGCCTTCTTCATGATCAAACCTACAAACACAAAGCATCAGACGTTACTTGTGAACTAATGGTTTAATCAATCAAGAAATTTGATTATTTAATATCTATATTCTGCAGGTCTTAACAGAGGCCAGGGTTTTGTTTATGTATGTATAACATTTTTATTCCTAAAACCATGGTAATTTTTTTTTCTTGGCTGTTGACAATAATTTCTGCTTTGTGGAGTTATAAATACAAAAAATAAAAATATAATTCTAAACATGTCAGATTTTTGATACTGGCTTTAGCCAAAGTTCAGATTTGTGTTTTGGAAATGTATTCAACTTTGTACATTTTTATATCAATATTTGTGTATTTAATCAACATTTCAGAGAACTTGTATTACAAAACAATTGCCTCAACGTACTGTGATGATGAAGCTGGAACTAAAAGTAGGTCAGGTGACGTTGCGTAACAAAGACCCCGCCCCTCCTGTCAATCAAATTACACAACAGACTCGGATCTAGAACATTCCGCAAGAAACACTATAATAATTAACCAACGTTATCATAACATCACTAAAACAAAATCCTAATGTCACCATCCATATAGTAATAAATCTATTCTGATATGTTGTTCGCCTTCCGGTATTTACTGTTAGTATCGTTAATTAACGTTAGTATTATGTTGCTAATTCAGCGAGGATTGTAAGTAACTTATATAACAACGTTAAAGCGCTTACTTAAAACAACATTAAATATATAAATATTATCTATAAACAGCATTTAACTGTAACTTACCGTCAAAAAGGACTTGATCCAACAGTAAGATAACCGACTTTGAGGAAAACGCTCTCTCTATACTCCTCGAGCGAGTTCAAAACAGAAACTATTTTTGAAATTCAACAACTGTCAAATAAATGTACGTTTATTCCAAAATAAATTCCAGAAGAAATCAATTATTACAAGATTTAGGACAAATTCTTGAAACAAAACGTGTTTCTGAGTAGTCAGCGCCTTTCTACAGCCAGCGCCGTCGTCTTCTCGCGAGAGGTTGGATGATTCAGCGTGAAGTGAAGCGGCTCTTGTGCAGCTTGTTTTTCTACTTAACCGAAACCCAATGACGTAACCCGGGGGTGGCGGGGTCTAGAAAATTCATCAACGCTGAACAAACAGTGTTTGATAGACATTTTTTATTTAAACTATGATATTTTTATAACCGAGTTATTTTATATTAACTAAGTTGTTTTGAATAAAAAACAATTAATAACTGAAAATACTGTCATATATTGACTTCATGTTTACATATTGTTTATACATAGTTGTATCATCGGGTTGTGAAACGATCTCTCGAGAGATCGCGTTATATCGCGAGGTTTTATATGTGTCTGGGGGAGTGAGGGAATCGCCTTTAACACAAACAACGCACCGTGCTTGAGCTGCATGGTTGTGCGTTTCTTTCCTTCAAAGAAAAGAAGAACAGCTCGTGCTTGAGTCAGAAAACAGATCCTCAACTTTTCATCTGAAAAAATGGCGATCGAAAACCTGCTTCCAGACAATTTTGGCTATGCAATTTTTACTTATTTGTACAGTTTTGTCATGTTGATGTATCTCGGGGCCCAAGTTGGTAGTGCACGGAAGAAGTATGGAGTAAAGGTACTATAAGGCTTCATATGCAATGCATGTTGCATTGCCTGAAATTATACCGATGCATATTAAACTTTGATTTCTGATTTGGAACCAGTGCAGATGCTTTAGTTTAATGTATTTTTCTGCTCTCGTGTTTTGTGTGTAGTATCCCACCATGTACAGTGATAAGGAGCAAGTGTTCAACTGTATCCAGAGAGCCCATCAGCACACACTGGAGGTGTATCCACAGTGGCTGGTGTTCCAGACTATTGCTGCATTAGAGTATCCTGTGAGTATCACAGTTGTGTGCAATTACAAAATGAACGACAGTTCAGAGGCGGGACCAAGTCATTGTTTTGCAAGTCACAAGTAAGTCTCGAGTCTTTGCATTCAAGTCTGGAGTCAAGTCCCGAGTCAAGACAGACAAGTCGAGTTGCAAGTCCTCAGCTTTAAGATTTAAGATTTGCCCAAATTAGTGTCTCAGTATTAATTACCATATCAAATTCATAGTAATTTATATCAGGAAGGCAGGTAGAATATTTGACATTGTTCAATTTCATGTGAGATGGGCGCCCTTAGTAAAACTATGCAAGTTCAATTTAGGGATTGTGCCAAAATAGGATAAGAATGATTGGCAAAACATTCATGCATTTAAGGGTTAATGGAGGTTTAAATAAAATAAAAATGCACATGCAATTAAAATATGTCACTGATCGAACAAAAACTGTGGAGATCTGACAAAAACAGGTCTCAGAGAGGTGTTTATTACAAATAAAAATGAAAATGAAAGAACATCGAGTTGGCAGAGTGCGAGGGTTGTGGCGGGATGCGGATCCGTCACTCATGGTGCACCTCGGTGTCGGACAAACAAAAGAAGTGAGGAATATTTAACAGCAGCGGTCACAGTGATGATGAGGCCAGCACCAGTGAAGTGATCGCGGCCGCGCATCTCGTTTCTCATGCCCGCTCCGTGTGTCTGCTGGGCGGCGATCAAACGGACAGGGCAGCGCTTTTCACGAGCGGAGATCGCTACTAGACGAATCATGTAATTTTTTATTATTTTTTTATCTCTGTTCTTTTGTCGTAAGTTATGCTATTACTCCATTAATTTATACTAGTCTATCCAGCGCTCCCTGAACGCAGTCTCTATTTTATTGCCAGTCAAGCGCAAGCAGTCTGCAGGGACGCGTCTATAACGACTTTGATCTGATCATAAAGTCTTTCCGAGTCACAGGGCTCAAGTCCAAGTCAAGTCTCGAGTCCTTGCTGTCGAAGTCTAAGTCGAGTCTCAAGTCTTCTTTAATTATGTCGAGTCGAGTCGCAAGTCATCAAATTTGGGACTCGAGTCCGAGTCGAGTCTCGAGTCCACACCCCTGCGACAGTTCAAAGAAACTCATGTAACTGCTGTAAGTGGAATATAGAATTCCCTGGAATACCCAAAATTAGGGCTGCACAATTAATCGGATTTCTAATCGCGATTACAATTATGGATGCCACAATTACGTAATCGTTCAAATAGGCAATTAATCGTTCAAAGTCCACTTATGATATTCTGTGTGCTTAAGATGCGTTTTTTTTCTTTCTGCATGTTATCTTAAGGGTTTTTCCATTGTTTTAATTTTAGTTTTAGTGTAACACTACAGTATAATACCATTTATATTTTTTTACTTTTTTTATAATTTAAAGAAGATACCAATCCAATGCATAGTTGACATTTGAGGCTTAATACTATAGAAAAGCACTAAAAGTCTTTCAGTTAGAGTGTTTTCAGCTTGCTTATTTTCATATAAAAATACGGCATGCAGTTGCATCAAGCAATGGTACAAACATAATTCAATGTAAATTGTGATAATCGTAATTAATAATCGCAATTACAATTTCAAGGCAATAACCGACAATTATGATAAATTGTGATAATCGTAATTAATAATCGCAATTACAATTTCAAGCCAATAACCGACAATTATGATTTTTTTTTTGTCATATTCGTGCAGCCCTACGCAAAATATTGATGTTATCTCAAACATTGTGGTCAGCATTTTGTCAAGAGTTGGTGTAAATGAATCATGTTTTGTAGAAAGATTTGTGTTTGTGAGTTTATAAAATGTTTTTTAATTGCAATTCAGCAAATTCGTCTTCCTGCTGTTCCAATTCGAATTCCAGTTTAATGTGGACGTAGGCAATTCCAGCTTATGAATTGAAATGGAGCCAGTTCTGCCCAGCTCAACCCCTCCTTATATAACCCGTCGAGTGCATTGCTGTACCTTGTACCATCTTCCATCATATTTAGTGACAACTAGAAGTTTCTAATATATTTAGAAATGTGACACACAAGCATTTATCACACTAAAGTGGTGGGCTAGTGACAGTAATGTTGTTTGTATAAACCTTACAACAGTTCATTAAATCATTATGCCTTTGATCAAATTGGGTGACCTTGATCATTTAGCAGAGGGACATTTCCTTGTAATGCGTGTTCTATAAATCTCTTGTTAAATATGTTAATTAATTATCTTTTCATGTGCTCTCCTTCTCTCATATGTACACCCTTTCACCCAATTCACCTTTGTTTATCTTGCATTTTTTATCTCTCATATCAGATTGCTGCCTCTGTGTTAGGAGTCATCTGGGTTACGAGCAGGTTCTCTTATGCCTGGGGTTACTCCACTGGTGGTAAGTCTTAAAAATGCACATAGAGAAACCTGTAGCAATTTTTAGACAGTTCTCAGATGCAAAAGCACATTCACATCTGTTTCTGAATCTGAGTGCAAATGCAAAAAGCATTGCATTTATTTTGCATTTAATTATAGATTTAAATGACACGCGTGTTTGTGGATTATATATTTATGCATTTTTTTTTTTAATTGCCATACACATTTTCAAGATACTGTTAACTTGTTTAAGTTGTTTGTCTGTTTTAGATCCTGCTAAGAGGATGCGTGGTGTATATGGATATATCGGGCTGTTTGGAGTCATTCTGCTTTCAATCTCTATTGCTCTCAAACTGCTTGGAGTGCTTTAAGGGAAACACTACTGAGAAAATACCACATAAAACCAATACTTGGCACTTAATGTAGTCGTCAGTGATTCTTTTTTTCACTTTTTTACTCTCTTTTTTTAATTACATCGCTCCATCCTGAAGCTTTTATATAGTATGAAATATTTCATCAAATGTAATCGACTTGTTAGGCTTTTATACACCTTCTTTACACAGCTTTCCTTACATTTCATTTAGGGTGACCAGATAATCATTGCATGCTAGTGTTTATGTTCAGATGACCTGGGTTTAAGTCCAGCTAGTGACATTTCTGTTTGAGGACCATCTTCTGTACAGAGCACTTTGGGTGCAAAATTGTGACCGGCAACATTTCAGATACTGTGCTGATTTGATTAGGATGTATAGTCACCCTATGTTATTTCATTCAGTTCAGACAAATGAATAATAAAATGTCTGTGTAAGATTCAATCAAACCATGTGTGAGTGCTGTGTGCTTCAAACGGCAAGAAAATATTGTAGTCCTGCATACTTTATACTCATTTTAGTCATTTCTGAAATCACTGTCATGCCTTTAAAGGAGATTAAAGGTCTTGTGTTTGTGAAAGTTACATTAATTACATGATTCTGATCTCTCAGATAATATTTAAAATGGCATATGGCAGGGCTTTATGACAACTGGAGTGTTAAATCATTTATAAACAGACGTTAGGGTGTTACTATGATGCTTTGGTGTTGTGGGTGGTTACACTGAAATTCTTATCTTTCCATATGGCTCTTTCCTTAATGAGATAGTTTACCCAAAAATTAAAATTCTGTCTTCATTACCCACTTTCATGTTATTCCAAACCTGTATTGAGTTCTTTCTTTTGATGAACACAAAATACGTTTTTTTGAAGAATGTGGGTAACCAGATATTTGCTGGTAGACGTTGACTTCCATAGTATGGAAAAATATACAATGGAAGTCAATGGCTACCAGCAACTGAGTATATAATGACAAAATTTTCATTTTTGAGTTTAAATGACAATTTTGGAAGCTTTTTTGTTTTAGATAAACATCTGAGAAAGTCTGGTAGAATAGAAAAGCATTAGGATTTCATACATAAAGCAGTGTGGTACAAGCTATGTTGCCAAGTTTAATATTTAGGGGTTTCATCAAAACACTAAGTATGAACAATAGTAACGCAAACACCACTAATAAACTGAAACTATTATAAAGCATTTACTTTAGTTTGAAAAGCCTAGGCGTCTTTATAGTCTTTTTAAGACCCTATAGACTTAGATGTTTTATGGGTTCAGTTTTTCCAGGTTTGAAAATGATTTCTTTATAGGAATTACAAAACACAGTAGCCTATACAGAAGCTTTTATGTTATCTTAACATTGTCTCAAGACATTGCAAAATATGTGTGCCTATGTGCTAGATTGAGACATCCCTTACTAAAATTAACCATGGTTTTATTATAGTAAAAGTGTAATAACTTTTTTTTTTTTTGGTGTATTGACTACCATTTGTATAACCACAGTTTTTACTACAAATACCATGGTTAAACTATGGCTAGTGTAGCAAACCTATGGTTAATTTGTAGTTACCATGGCTTAACTATAGTAACTATAGTTTGGTTTCATTTGTAGTAAAAAGCATGGTTAATTTTCGCCAGGGATATCAAGGTCTACTGTTATATATTTTTGGTTTGCTTGCATTTTTTAGATGTACTTGTATGTTTATGCTGTGTAAACCACCTTAGTAATAGTAATTCCTATCGTAAATAGTAATTTTACCATATAGCGGATCACGTGATGCCAACAAAGGCGTCCATGAGGGGGCGACCCGTTCCATGTAGAATAAAACAGATTTTTCTAAAACGTATTTCAGAATTTTTCTTAGAATTCCCCGTAATTTTATCAGACGTGCTGTTAATTTATTTATGTGTTAACCCTTTAATAAGTGCACATTTTGGTTGATAGGATGTGCTCCGCCAATGGAGACTGATGCAGAGCGCACTGCGCATGTGCGACTCAGTGCACTGTTTGAGACGGAAGACTGCGGACTCGGAGTGTATCTCCACATACTGCGAACCTCAAGAAAAGTGCTGGTAAGAATTCACTGTGCTATAAAGATCGAGTCCTAGCAATCATTCATTAGATATTCACCGTTACGTGTGCTTTTATTTATCCGTCATGCTTTATAGAAACAGTGATGTAGCAAAATTGGGTTAGAAATCAGCCGGATATGAGATCAAACATGTTTACAGCATTAACACTCGACGTTTTCGCCCGATATTGCGCGGAAACGTAGTTTTGAACTATTATGTTAAAGATCGCTTATGTTAATATTCAGATATTGGTCGCAAACATGACGGAAGGAAATCCTTTGTGTGTTATTTGTGTTTGGTTCAGGATGATCATGTGTGCTCTGCGTGTGCGCAGTCAGTGAGGATGCGCCGCTCCTGCGCAGGAACAGTTGGATTTATTAGCTTCTAAATAAAAACTAACATGAGTTGACGAACACTAATTTCCCCCCGTCACTTTTTCAAGATTCTTTAATGACAAAAATGAAAAAGAACAGCATTTGTTCGAAATAGAAATATTCTGTAACATTATAAGTGACTTTACTGACACTTTTGATCAATTTAAGGCGTTGATAGATAGATAGATGGTGCTATCAAACGATTAATCACATATAAAATACGTTTTTGTTTACATAATATATATATATGTGTTGTGTATATTTATTATGCATATTTAAATACACATACATGCATGTATATATTTAAGAAAAATATGTTGTTTATATATTAAATATATTTATGTATAATATAAATTATATGAATATAAATATATACATGTAAATATTTTCAAAATATATATTGTGTGTGTGTATTTGTATGTAGTATATACATAATAAATATACACAGTACACACACACACAGCCTATATTATGTAAACAAAAACTTATTTTGGATTAGATTAATCATTTGACAGCATAGATAGACAGATAGATAGATAGATAGACAGACAGATAGATAGAGATAGACAGACAGACAGACAGACAGACAGATAGATAGATAGATAGATAGATAGATAGACAGACAGATAGAGATAGACAGACAGATAGAGATAGACAGACAGA